TGAGGTCTGGAAGTGAAGATGCAGGTCTTATAGCCGGGATGTGGGTTCAGATCACTGAGGGAATGAAGCCTGCGATTGAGGCCAGTGAGAAGTGGGGAACTAGGGCTAGAGGCTAAGGAGTAGGGAGGTGGGGTAGGACCACTGTCAAGGTCATTCAAAGGTTTTCGTTTCTTTTCTTTTTCTTTTTTTTAACCAGTCCTGGGGCTTGGACTCAGGGACTGGACACTGTCCCTGAGCTTCTTTTGCTAAGGCTAGCACTCTACCACTTGAGCCACAATGCCACTTCCAGCTTTTTCTTTTTATGTGGTACTGAGGAATCAAACCCACAGCTTCATGCATGCTAGCACTCGACCACTGAGCTACATCTCCAGCCCCTCAAAGTTTTTCTTGATTCAGTCTGTGTGTGACATTTGGTTTTGTTCTGTTTTGTTTGTCTGTTGCCAGCCCTAGGCCTTTAACTGAGGGCCCTGCCATTGTCGCTTAGCTTTTTCACTCAAGACCGGCTTTCTACTACTTGAACCACAGCCCCACTATCAACTTTTTATTGGTTAATTGGAGCCAATGATTCATGCCTTTAATCCTAGCTACTCAGGAGTCTGAGATCTGTTGAACTCAATTTGACATTAGCTTAGGCAGATAAAATCTGTGAGATTCTTATCCCCAGTTAAGGAGCAAAAGCCAGAAAAAGAGGTGTGGTTGAAGTGGTAAATTGCCAGCTTTGACCTAAAAGCACTGAGAGCATGAGGTCTTAAGTTCAAGCCTCAGTACCAGCACATAAAATATGGTACCAGGAAATATGATTTTACTTTTTGAGCAGAGGGCCCAAAGGATGCCAGTATGACACAGCTCTAAAAGAAATTTACTTTTCAGAGCCGGGCGCCAGTGGTTCATGCCTGTAATCCTAGCTTTTCAGGAATCTAAGACCTGAGGATTGCGAATCAAAGCTAGCCCGGGCAGGAAAGTCTGTGAGACTCTTATTTCCAATTAACCACCAGAAAATGGGATGTGGCACTGTGGCTCAAGTGTTAGAGTGCTTACCTTAAGCTGAAGAGCTCAGAGATAGCGCCCAGGCCCAGAGTTCAAGCCCCAGGACTGACAAAAAAATTACTTTTAAGGGAAGGGGAAGAGTTGACATTGTCCAAAAAGAAATGACCTCTTTACTTGACTAACTGTAACCCCTATGTACATCACCTTTATAATAACAATTTAAAAAAATCTTTTAAGTCAGGCACTGATGGCTTACGCCTGTAATCCTAGCTACTCAGGAAGCTGAGATCTGAGGATCATGATTTGAAGTCAGCCCATGCAGTAAAATCCATGAGACTATTAACTCCAATTAACAGAGAACAAGAAGCAGAGCTGTGGCTCAGTGGTAGAGTGCTAGCCTTGAGCAAAAACACTCAGGGTCAGTGCCCAAGGCCCTGAGTTCAAGCCCCATGACCAACCCAAAAATAAAATAGAAAATTTACTTTTGACTTGGAGGAGATCAGATGCCTAAACTCTTCACACATGTACAGTCTGAGAAACTTGTCTGTGTCGATGTATGGTTTATGTCAACCAAATATATAAAAGTTACTCTGGCTGTATAAGGCCATAAAGATGCACTTTTTTTTCTTATTAGTCAAATAAAAGAGTCTCACGGACTTTTCTGCCTGGGCTGGCTTTGAACCTTGATTCTCATGTCTCAGCCTCCTGAGTAGCTAAGATTATAGGCATGAGACACCCATATCCAGTATATGATGTGTGTGTGTGAGAGAGAGAGAGAGAAGGAGAGGGGGGAAGGTAGGGAGGGAGAGGGAGAGGGAGAGAGGAGAGAGAATAATATATAACCTAAGGCTTAAACTCAGAGCCTGGATTCTGTCCTTGAGCTTCTTTTGCTCAAGGCTAGCACTCTACCACTTGAGCCACAGATCCACTTTCAGCTTTGGTGTGTGTGGGGGGGTAGTTAACTGAAAATAAGATTCTTCACAGACTTTGCTGCTCAAGCTGTCTTCGAATCTCAAATCTCAGATCTCAGCCTTGTGAGTAGCTGGAATTACAGGCATGAGCCACCAGTGGCCAGCATCCAGATATACTTTTAAACTCTTAAAAACAAGGTACCAAGCTGGGTGCTGGTGGCTCACGCCTGTAATCCTAGCTACTCAGGAGGCTGAGATCTGAGGATGGCAGTTCAAAGCCAGCCCGGGCAGGAGAGACTGTGAGACTCCTATCTCCAATAAACCACCAGAAAACCGGAAGTGGCGCTGTAGCTCAAGTGGTAGAGCGCTCGCCTTGAGCTGAAGAGCTGAGGGACAGTGCCCAGGCCCAGAGTTCAAGCCCCACGACCGACAAAAAAAAAAAAACAAAACAAGGTACCAGCTAGGCACCACTGGGTCACATCTGTAATTCTAATTCAAGAGGCTGAAATCTGAGGATTGTGGTAGGAAAGTCTGTCAGACTCTTGTTTTTGTTTTTATTTTTTGCCAGTCCTGGCCCTTGAACTCAGGGCCTGGGCACTGTCCCTATGCCTCTTTGTGCTCTACCACTTGAGCCACAGCACTACTTCTAGCTTTTTTCTGAGTAGTTTATTAGAGATAAGTGTCTCATAGACTATTCTGCCCTGGATGGCTTCAAACTGCGATCCTCAAATCTCAGCCTCCTAAGTAGCTAGGATTGCATGTGTGAACCACCAGCACCCTGCTAGAGACTCTTATCTCCAATTAATTAACAAAAAAATGCCAGAAGTGAAACTGTGGATCAAGTGGTAGAGTGGTAACCTTGAACCTTAAGCTCAAGGACAGTTACTAGGACCTGAGTTCACGGCCCAGGACTGGCCAAAAAATAATAATAATAATTAATTAATAAGGCATCTGTAGAGCACAGCTGGCTCATGCCTATAATCCTAACTACTCAGGAGGCTGAGATCTGTGGATTATGGTTTAAAGCCAGCCCCGACAGAAAAACCCAGGAGACTTCTCTCCAATTCACTAAATACTGTGCTAGGCACCAGTGGCTCAAGCCTATAATCCTAGCTACTCAAGAGGCTTGGATCTAAGGATCACGGTTCAAAGCCACCCCGGGCAGAAAAGTCCATGAGAAAAATCCTTGAGCAAAAGAGCTCAGGGACAATGGCCAGGCCCTTAGTTCAAACCTCATGATCAAAAAAATAAAGAAATACTGGAAGTGGACTCGTGGCTCAAGTGGTAGAGTACCAGCCTTGACTAAAATTAAAAAAAAAAA